GACCGGTTCTGCAAGGCATCAGCTCACGTGTTCTGCTGATGATCGAATGGGAAAAAGTTTGAAATTTTTTTGAAATTTTCGAAAAATCAAAAAATGCTGGAAAAATTCTAAAAAGCGCACAAGAATTTTGAAAAAATTGATACTTTTTTTTCTCAAAATCTTCACTAACTGATTCATACCAGAACCAGTCTGCCATGCCCGATGTAAGCCAGACACGCTCTGTGTCACCCGATTTGTGCTTCAACTGGTCTCCGCCAGACACGTTGTCTGCCTCACACGGTCTCGGTCGGACTCTGTCTGTCTGACAGTGCGTCAACGACACCACGTCTCTGCCTGACTCGTACTCTGCGTCACCCGATTTCTGCTCTTACTGGTCTTTACAGAGAAGCCCCTTTAGAGAGTGTCATACAGTGATCAGGTCTTGAAGGGGCAGAGTCCGTCAGAGACAGGTTACGTCAAAGTACGGGTATGGCGGACCTCGTTTTTGACAGTGATCGGGTGGGGAGAATTTTGGCTAGCGGACGCGGACTGTACGTGTGGCAGTCACGGAATGCTCTGGACGCCGTATTCCCCTCCCGAGGGATGGTAGAAAGTACTAGAAGGGGGACCCTCCAGACGGTATATCCCCTTCCTTACTAGAAACTACCAGAAAGTGAACCTTCCAGACTTCCTCGTCTGGATCCTTCGACAGCTGGGCCGGCGATTATAAAACGTCGCCTACCAGAGTGCGGGAGGATAAGCTGTGGTGACAGGTGATAAGAGTGACGTGAATCTAGTGTGTGGAGCCAACGAGCGGTCTGGTGTGGCGCTGAGCAAGGACAGGGTGGCTGAGTGTGAGAGCACCGGTTTTATAGACCGTGGCGGCCGCGGCCGAGGAGCCAGCGTGTGTCCATTGAGGGTGCTGAGGGCCGGAGGCTGCGTGTTGAGAGCACCGGGTTCATGGACCGTGCCTGCAGAGGGGCCAGCGTGTCCAGTGAGGTGCTACTGGCCGACGTGTGTGTGTGAAGAGCGCCAAGCTTAGGGGACCAGACGTTGAGAGCACCGGGTTCATGGACCGTGCCTGCAGAGGGGCCAGCGTGTCCAGTGAGGTGCTACTGGCCGACGTGTGTGTGTGAAGAGCGCCAAGCTTAGGGGACCAGACAGGCTCGAAGGACAGTGCGTGTGTGAAGATACTGTTGTAGTAGTGGAGAGTTGCCTGTAAGTGTAGACCTCTGTTAACTGATTTAATTAAACGCTAATAAATCAGGGTTGACAAATTAAAGGGAGTACCAATATACATCACAATATGTTTCCTGGAGGAAAACCATATCAATTTTTACCTGATGATATTCTACACCCTTCAAATTTGCTGAAGTATCCCATATCACGGTAAATACCACAAATATCACAGTATGTCAGTTGGTTAAAAAACAAATTAACGTGGTAATATGAAATTTGATGTGGAGCTAAACAATAAACATACCAACAAATGTAGTATGAATGTATGGTGACAATAAGAAACTTTCAGGTTATATCTGGCAATAACCAAGTAAAGTAGATTCCGGTTAATCGGGGCAGCCATTTATTTGGGACAAATCTTAAAGAACAAAAATAAATTAAGAACATAACCATAATTTGCTTCCCTTATTTGGGACACCATGCCATTTAATTGGGACAGTGAGTGCTAGATGGCGTGTGGCTTTGTGGAGTCAGTCAGTCGTCGCTGATTCACTCAGTAATGAACACGTGCGTATTCAGACAGTGTAGCGATTCTGCTTGCGAGTAATAAGCAGCAAGACTATCCAGAACCGCTTTGCTCACTGTGGTTTTAAGCATTCAGGCTTGGAGAAGCCAGATACAACCGATGGTGAAAATAACGCCATTTTGGAAGCTCAACATGTCAGAAAATACGAAGTTTGAATGTATCAACAATAGTCTTCAATGTTACAATGAAAATGAAGAATATGAGGATGAAATTGTTGGACAAATTTCAGCAAAACACCAAGACATCAGAAGACCAGGAAAGTGATGAGGATGACACACCTGAGCTTGAGCGAGTGACTAACCAGGATGCCAGGAAATTTTTTGTTGGATTACAACACTACTTCATGCAGGAAGGCAATGAAGACAGTCCTATATCTGCACTAGATACCTGAGCTGAATTTGTTCAGTTGTAGTCAATCATTAGAACACAGCCAGGTACGCTGAATATATTCCTCCAAAATCGTTAACCGTTAAATTGAAATTGTTTTAGCGTAAATATTTTTCTCTGATCTGTACCATTTGTTCCAGAATTCATTTATAGTATGTCGCTCAATAAATCATCTAAATAAATGGGAGTTTGTCTTTTGTTTTAAACCTTTTTAATTCTGTACGTGGAACTTCGCATAATTGGGCCAAAGTGTCCTAGTCCTGATGTGTCCCAATTAACCGGAATCCACTGTACTTTGAGATTACCCTGATGATGGAAGCAGTAAGGACCTCTGAAATGTTGGCCAGTTTCTACTAGACTGCACAGTGCAACATCCCAGAGAATAGTCATCTTCATACTCATTGTCATGAGAACCTGAAGTCTCACCTAGCCTAAAATTATCACACAGGCCAGGTTCCATGTACTGACAGAAATCTGTAAAGGAAGTAGAATCTTCTAAGTATATCAATGAAATAAAATCCCCTTATCATGGGGATAACTGACATTGTCAGGAACACAGTTTATATCTTACAGCATTTATTAGCCTACATTATCATATTATGAACAAAAGTAGTTTTATCATGCTAATATATAAACACTTGAACTACTTACATAAAAAAGTCTTTGTAGGCCTAATTTCACTGAACAATATGTTTATCAATATTTTGATAATTTTTATGCTCTAAAGTATATTATAAAAGGTAACAGAACTAAAAATTTACTGAACTACATTGCATTTATTCATATCAGGTGCTAGGCACACTTCAATTATGATCTATGACTAGAACTTTGGAAGAAAACTCCAATATTGTACTCTGAAGCTCTCATTTTTACGTTGCATCTATATTAGTTCCACTTTCTTGTATATGTAAGATGCACTTTGGTTCTGTTGTCACACTTCAGTGTATACAAAAAACATCTCATACAACAATTTCCCTTCACCTGCCAAGAATGTCAAATGAAAACTTTTTTCAATGCATTATCTAATTTTAATAAAATCTGTAAACTTTATTCTTCCATGTGAAATTTAAGTAAAATGCCACTAAAAATTGTAATCTGTAGTGTGTGAATGTTCGTGCAGTTGAATTTCATCTCGTTACAACTGAGCTATTTTACATTTGTAAATCAAATTGTATTGCTTGGACTCAGTTATATCACTACAAGATATGGCATCATCAGCTATTTGTCATTCTGTGACTATGATTTCATGTAAAAGAATATACCGATTATTTTTGAAAGACATGGCCCCACTTTAGAGGCACGTTCTATGAGCAGAAATAACCAGAAAAGTCTGGGTCCACGGCTGCTTTGTCTTTATGCCCCATTTTATTTTGGAAGGAGAATACAAAGTACAGTGTAAACCTGTCCACGAGAAATTGTTCATTTACAGATCACTAATTCTGATGTTACAGATTACTATTTTGACAAGAATAATTTTAAAAAAAATGCTCAGTGTTGTCCCTGTGCTTCCACCATGTGTCTTATTAATGACCATCGCATGTTCATAAATTCAAGGTGTTAAAAGTTAACTCTCACCTGTTTTCTACCCTCTGTTGTAGTTCTGCTACCACAACATACACAATACATTTAAGATAGCCCCATAAATAAAAATCCAGGAAGTCCAAGTCAGATGGTCTTACAGGCCACAGGTTTAAAACCAAGCATCCATGAACTTGTATTTATGTTCACACTTTTCATTGCCTTTCGACACAGAACACAGCCCTGAAGTGAAGCCATATATTTTGGAGACTCTCTGTAGTCTGCTGTACAGTTAACGTCTCATGTATTCAAAATGACTATAGCATTTCAAGTAGGACACTAACATAATCATTGTTAATGATATGTCATAAAGCTGTTTTTCCACAGACAGTTACAGATTAAATGACTACAGACCAAAAATCCCCTCACCGAATTTAGCAATGTGCAATACTTTCTTTAACTTATTGCAAGGCATACATTCACACTTATGAATTTAAAATATTAGGCCAAAATCTCATTAGTATCCATTAATTTGATCTGGTTATGGAGTAATTTTCTCACTTCAATGTATTATCAAGCTCTCGATCATATGCTCGTGAAGTCAATGATCATAATCTTGCACACTACTGCTGATTATACCAACTGATGCTAATATATATATATATATATATATGTGTGTGTGTGTGTGTGTGTGTGTGTGTCAACCCATTAAACAATTTGCCAAACCCCTTTATTGTCCACTGTAGCAGGAAAATGGTTTGCTTGAGGTAATCGGTGTCCAGGTGTACTACATGCTTTTACAGAGCAGTTCTTTCATCATACACTATCACTGCTTCATTGTCTACTAGAGAATCAGTGTCTTTATGGAGGTACTGGCTTCGAGATTTGCTGAGTGCAATTATGGCAGCTTCATCGTTTCTCATGCGGTTCTTGCGTTTCTTGCTAAAATTCACCTGGAAATTAAACAAAAATATGAGTATTTCAGGAAGTGGTGCACACAGAACAATGACAAGTATCACATCCATCATAATAACCAACATACTTATCTCTCTCCCTTTATACCACATAACTTTATCCCCCCTCTCTCAACATTCAGTCTGTCCTGCTTTCTACTACTGCTACTTCATTCCTGAACTACACCAACATCCACTCCTACTC